GCTGATGATGATGATTATGCCAACGGCAATGGCTTTGTCTTGTGCCCGAAGATACTTAAATGTAAAAATAGAAAATAGAAAACAAATAGAAGGAAACTACAAGAGCATAGTGCACTGCACATCTTACGACTGGGTATGCGCGACTAGTAGATGCGCCTTATAAGGTTAATACTAAGCCTTGTAGACGAATTAGGATGAGCTGTTGATGAATAAGCTAGATGTATAGAAAGAGCTACATCCGATTCTCTTATATTATTGAGCTTAGTGAGGTAAGCTCATACATTATGGAATAACTTTTGAATCTTGTTATCGAATTCATTTAAATTTTTAAATTATGCTGAAAGTATGTTTAGCTGGACATATCTCATATATCCCAGCTGTAGCGCTTACAGTTCCCGAGTTCAATGAGCTCAGTTGTAGATATTAACGCAGAGCTCTGGTATATTTTGATTAAATCTTCTCAATATTTGTAGAATCAATTTACAGGGTATTTTAGGCAGCTATAAAACACAATTGAACAACTCTAGCTCTGGCAGCCTTCGAGTTCAATGAGTTGGGTAAGCAAAGAACTTTGCTTCATCGAAGCAATTGTCGCTACTGCACTTCAGCTAGCGCCAAGAGGCGGTCCTTGAGCGAACCAGATACAGTTGAGTAAAGCACTTTCGATTGACTTCGTGGCGACTGTCAAAGGCATAGAACAAGATATGCTATCTGACATGATTCTCATCGAATTTATGGCATTGATTTTAGTGTAAGAAACGCATTCGAGATAAGATTAAAGATTACACAATTCATAAATGTAACAAATCATTTTAAATTTAGTTTTCCCTCTCCTCGCTTTGCCTTTCTCCTTTTTTCATTTTTACTAATCTCGCTTCCCTTTTGTTACGCACATCAATATTTCAAATGGGAAACTCTGCTCTTTTTGCGAAATTCATTTTTAATCCAAAAATATGCTAAATAATTAAATGAATTACAATGGAAGTTGAATTCGCAGTGCAGCTGGCGAAATTTTGTAAGAAATTTGCTGGACCTTTTGCTAGATATCAGCGAACGCAGCTGAAACTTGAATTGCTCATTCCGCTACACAAAAGGAATTGATTGAATGTGTGGAAATAGCAAAAGTTCTCTAAACAATTTCAACAAAAAGAGATTAAAACACAGGAGCTTTTTAGTTGACTAGCTAAGCTGGCTGCAAATTTAATTTGCTAAATTTAATTGCTACAGTTGGGCGATTTACATAATTCTTACCCATGTTGTATACATGACTAACTGTAATTACTGTACTACATTTGGGCTTTATATCATTGCTGACAACTGAGTTCACGTGAGCAGTCATATGGTGGAATGTTACAATCGAACCCAAATCGAAATATGTTTTATGGCCTCTAAGAGAAGGATGTAAACTAAGTTTCAGCTTTATAACTGCACTAAAAACTGAGTTCACATAGATAGATATATGCTGGAGTGATGCAATTTAACTCATATTAAAATATATTTCCACTATCTAGATAAGAAAGTCGTGTACCAAGTTACAGCTTCAGAAGTGCTTCCGAAGCTGAGTTCACATAGTTAGCTATGCGATATGGTAATGATTTTAACAAGATCTTCAAATATATTCAAATGTATACTGAAGCCAGGAGCTAGGCCAACTTTTTAACAAATAAACTATTCCAGAAGCTGAGTTCACACGGGCGATTATACGCCACAGCGCAACCATAAGACATATATAATTTAGTGTCATCTTCTTTAAAGACATTTCACAAATTGAAATTTGCTTTGTCTATGTCATCAAAGAAAAGCAAGGCGATGGTGTTGCTAAGGCCAGAAAGCCAGGGCCACGGCCAGACTATGGTTGCATATATACGAAATGCGCTGTCTATTTATATACATATAGTATTTATATATAGTGCATATACAAGAGATATGGATAGATGCATATATATATGTATATGCTGATGCTTGGGGCTAGTCGTGAAAGAGCAGACAGCGCAGCGCGTTCATCGTTTGCGGCTGTTTTTTCAAGTTCGTTGCCTCGCTTGACTGCCACTTGACATAACGGTCTGCCACGCCCCCCTTCTCCCCTTGACCACGCCAGCCCCCAGTTGTTCTCTTCGTCCGTGTGCAACCCTTGCTCCTCTCAAGACTCGCAGTGCAACACCCTTAGACTTCTTACTTGATTTATGACCAGCGGCTCCCCAAATAAAAAACGCTTTTTGCTGTCTCCTTTTGCAGTTTTCATGCAACAAGTGCGGCACACAAGATGTGGCAAGAAGAGTAGACACAGACACAGAACCAGATACAGAGCCAGCAGCAGCAGCAGCAGCAACAACAGCTGAAGAAGTTATTTTCCTGCTTTCATCTCGCTGCAGATCAAAATCAGTCCGTTGACTTCTTTCGCCGCAGGCTTCAGTCAGCAAAGGACATTTTCTATATTTTACTCAAGATATAGTAATCTGATCTACACGACATTAACATATATTCCAACATAAGCTGCGCGAAGCATCCATACAAAATCTTACACTCTTAGCTAAACTAAGAGCTGAGTTCACATAGGCAACTCTAAGAAATCATGTTTTGATACATTTGATTTCTATATATTTTTCATTTGAAGCCATAACGAGCAACTGTCTAAACGTTCAGCTTCAAAGTTTAACTGTGAGCTGAGTTCGCATAGTTAGGCTAGACGATATAATATTACCACTTATATGATTTTAGCATATGTGCCAATTGAAGTTGATATGAAGCAGCTGTACTATGTTTTATCAAGAAACTTGGTCTAAGAGCTGAGTTAACATAGGCAGTTGCATAATATTGTGTTACAATCTGAGTCATTTAGAAATATTTTCCTTATAAATTCAAAAGAAGCCGCTTTAGGAAGTTACTTAAAGAAATAATTGCAGGAAGCTGAGTTCACATAGTTAGTCATGTGTTCAAGCGTGACAAACTCACTTAAAACGCCCAGGCTTTTTACAGGAAACTTATATATTTATATAGTTATATATTTTTATAGATTTTTCTTATATTTCTGTATATGTCACTTGCGCTCTGTATTGATTTCTAGTGTTATTCACCCAATTTCTGGCATTCGTATATCCCTATGTGCTGCAAAACTTTGCCTCACAATTAGAATTTCCCACGTTCTTTAGAAATTCGAAGCTCAAACGAATTTGTATATTTTGCTTTTGCTTTAGTTCCATCAATCATACCGATACGAATTGTGGTTCAACTTGTGGTACGTTTTTATTACAGCTCCTTGTTTAGGGGGGGGGCGTTAAGCACAACAGAGAGAGAGAGAGAGAGAAAGAGAGAGAGAGAGAAAGAGTGAAACACAGAGAGTGGGGGCGAGTGGGCGTAACACTCTGAATTCTAAACCTTATAATCATGACAGCCAGACACGCCAGAGTTGAGCTCGAGGAGCTTTTGGCTCTTGGCCAGATGTTTGATTTCGTTTCCTCACGGGGTAGCCTTGTTGTTGATTTCCTAGATACCCAGTAATCACGATACCATGGGGCGTATTCGTCTGACTCCGTTTCAACGTCTGAATTTCGAAAAATCCTCGAATATCTAGAGACACTTGCATCCAGGGTAGCTGCTAGTCGCACATACCCCATCTATGGCTTTGAGCGGTGCGCTTTGGCTCAGTTCAGTTGTTGTTTCGTGTCTGAAGTTTTGTTATTATATTAAAATAATATAATGATTATTATTGCTTCGGCTTCAACTGCTGCTGTTGCAACTTGTTCTAATTGTTGTTGTTCTTGTTTTTGCTTTGTTTGCTGCTTTCTGTGTGTGTTTATAAATCATTTGAATTCCTGCTGCTTCGCTTTTCCACTTGGCATATCGAAAGACAATTTCGTGTGACGCCATATTTGTCAAATGACGTTTAAATTTATGAGCAAATGATATATGAGTAACAGGCAGTCAGGCAAACAGACCTACACACGCACACGCACACACACACACACACACACACACACTTCTACACACACCCTTGAAAGACACATTTTTTGGGTGCATTTTGCGTTTCATAAGTAAAGTTCAATAGCCGCACACTCACACTCACACACCCTCACCCTCACACACACCCTCAGTCTCTCTCTTTCTGTTTCTTCTGTCTCACTCACACACACACACACAGAGTTAAACATGCGACTCGTCAGCATATTTCGCGTTATTTGATATCTTCAAGTTAAAACATATGTGAGCCGTTTTTCACGCATGTTACCTCTCTGCACTCCTCTCTCTGACGTACTTTCTCTCCCTCTCCCTCACTCTCACTCTCACTCTCGATCGCTATTTTGTTACACTTGTTAAATACAAAAAATTCAAATCACTTTTAAAGTCATAAAAACTGTTTCGATTCTTCGAATGGGAAATTCTCTAATCGAGTTTTTTTTTTTTTTTTTTTAAGTGTTAAGAAAGAACTAGAGAGAAAGAAAGAACACAGAGAGTGTATATACCCTATAAAAATGAATGCTAACACTCAGAAAAGAGCGAATAGTTCGCTTCAAGACTTTCTTTGCCTGTGCTGTGTCATTTATTTGGGCCGCCAGTGTGTAGCACACTTTATATAGTCCAATTGTCCAAAAGTCATATTAATCAGCTGTGCTCTTTATTTACGCCATTGGTGTAGCATTAGCCCTAGCCAAAGCCTTGCTTAGTCAGTGTGCCTATTGTTTATGCCATCAGTGTACTAACATTGCATACGCACCCTCTGCCATAGCATTTCATAATACAGCTTAGTTTATAACAAGAAACTATTCATATACGCACACACACCCATGCATATCGAGCTGAGCTCTCATACTTTTATACTGTTATACTTGTCTCTTAAATTCATCATTCGACAGCTTTCGAGCAGAGCTTAAAATGTGCTCGCTCGCGTTTTCCATTCAAATGGCTTAAGCTGCAACTGAAGAGTTAAGCGCTTTACCGTTACGTTCGTCTTCCTCTTCATCTTCATTTTCATCTTCTTCAAGTTGTTTATCTTCTTTGCTCACCTTATGATAATTGTTTTGCATGGCAAGCGGCTGAGATCCATGGATGCACGCTGAATGCGTTCAACAGCTGCAAAGAGAAAGAGAGAGAGAGACAGATTAATAAGAGATAAACGACGGACTCAAGTCGAAGCGAAGAGCGCACGAGGTTGCGGTTCGAAGTTGGAGTTTGATTGATCGGACAAAAACTCATGGCGTGTGTGAGAGAGAGAGAGAGAGAGAGATAGAAAGAGAGACAGGTAGATGGAGCGAACGTAAGAGTGTAAAGAGCGAGGAATGGAGCGAACACGTTGAAGTAAACAAAACAACGCTTGGGCGCGAATGAGAAGACAACATAATAAATCAACAGAGGCAAATGAAGTAGAAGAGTGTGAGAAATAGCGACAGAGAGACAGAGGGAGAGAGAGAGATGGAGATTGCGAGAGGGGAAAACAACTGGCGCGTAGGCGCTGAAGAACAATAAACAATAAAAATAACAAGAAAAAAAGCGAAAAAATGTAAAACAAAAAACAAAAATGTTGAATGATGAATCAAAAGCAACAACAACAAAGGCAGCAATAAAACGCAATTGAAACAACAACAAAATACGAAATAAAACGCGTTAAATTAGCCAAAAATAAAAATAAAATAAAAATAGACGCGAAAAAAAAGTAGCTCAAGTTGAGCAGAGGCCGAGGAAGAGGAAGAGGAATAGCGAACAAGAGCTCAAAAGCAAAGGCATCATAAAAAAGCTAACTGTTTTCTAAGCCAACAAAAATCCAATTAGAATTTTAGCAAGCTAAGCGAGTAGCTCATTGCCACAAGAATTCAGATAGTATGCATTTCTATATATTATGTATATAAATCTAATATTATGTCAATATTGTATAATATT